GGGTGCAAGCACAAATAGCTGCATTTGTCTGTCCTTGGCTTAAAGCCAGATGCCATGAGTTTCATCTGTGTCTGAGCAGTTATCAGGGACTAAAGCCATTGCTTTATTATCTTGGCATGTACACTGTCAGGGGTCTGGTTCAGGATTTTACTCAGTGCTCTGATATAGAATGTAGGCATTATAAGAAGGAGCTGAACATGTTGTGCCACAATGTTTTTTAGTATTGATTACGTAGGTGAAGGGGTTTTAGATTTCTATAGACCTTGGATTTGTGTTCAGGAGTTTTGGACAGAGGGACAATACAAATGTTTCAGTCGTTTCTTCTGTGTCCAAGTTGGCCTGGAGAGCGGTGGGTAGTGTGCTTTTCTTTGATGTCAAACTGCAGCCCCCAGGGATGAAGATTTTCATTGGATGTCACCTTGGAGATTGTGATGATGGTTAGATTTTTTTTTTAAGATTTATTTTTATTGCAAAGTTAGATATACACAGAAGAGAAGAGATGAAGAGGAAGATCTTCCATTCATTGATTCACTTCCCAAGCAGCCTGAACAGCCCAGCTGAGCCAATCCTAAGCCAAGAGCTTCTTCTGGGTCTCCCATGTGCGACCCTGAAGTAGCTAACTGGCTTGTCCTTAGCCCCAACTTTTCTGCATCCTGATGGGTACTATGACCCATCCAGGCTGGGTCTCAGCTTTCCCCTTTGGGTTCTGTTGCCTAGCCCAGCTCATCTAACCCTGAGCCTGGCACTTGTATGCACCAGCAGGTATTGAGCTTAGTTTAACCCCTACCATGACTGTCCCCAGGCATGGTTCTTTTATGTGCTAACAGGTACTGCACCCTAGTCCAGCCCACCCCAAGGCCCAGTTTTCACTAGAGGATACTATGGCTTAATCTGGCTTGACTTGTCCAAAACCCCTAGTGTTGCCTGAAGTGGTAAACATCACTGCCCAACACAAAAAAGTTGTTTTTTCTTTCTGCCCTTGGGGTGACTCCTGTGAACCCCTGAAATGGTGCATGAGACATGATCTCCACCATTTTCTCCGGTCTTTCCTTCCTTGGAGCCCCCTCTCACTAAGACAGGAGCCCTCTTTCCTAAATAGATCATGCTTTGCAAACTTGAGTTTGTCCACATGTAAATTCTTTTGTGTGAGACAAGAAACGATGTTGCTGCTGGATTCGTGCTGCATCCCGCACAGCAGACCCCATGTGTTACCTGTATTTCTTTAGACAGAGATGGAACTGATTTAGCTGATACCAAGTTTATGTACTTCATGATGAGTAGCAGAGTCATTATCTTGAAAGCAGGTGTCAGATTTCTTCCCAGCACCCATGCTACCCAAACAGGCTTATTGTCTGCTTGCAATTGTCGCACGTGCGTTTCCCCACTCAGCAGTCAAGCTGATAAATGTATACGCTGGAGCAGGGGGTGATGGTGGTCTGTCCCTCCTGAGAGTTCAGGGCAGAGAGGAAATGAGCAGTAGCAACTGACTGTGGCAGCGGCAACCAGGTTCCAGGGCGGGAGAAGTGAGTATGGTGCAATGGCATACCTTAGACCGCCTGAGAGCAATGCTGGGCACAGAGTCTGGTAAATACGGATGGACGGAGGTCACTTCCCTCCCGCAGACACTTCCTCATCCACATCTTTTACTAGCATGGAGTGAGCACCGCAATTTCCTCCTCTTGTTCCTTTGAACTCCACAGTGATTGTTTTGTCTTTAGTTTTTTTTTAAAAAAAGTTTTCTGTTCTTCTAAGATATGTGCAGGTTGTTGATTTCAGATAATTACTCTTACAAACCGGAGATGTTTGTAGCTGTAAATCACCATCAATTTATTGTAATCACATGAGTTTTTGTATAAAGCGTAATGTTTAATCATACGTTAGTGTTTTGGTGTGTGTTTTTTTAATTTCTATTATACTTTTTTTATATGTCCCACTGGCTATTTTAAGAGTGTGTTGATTCCTTGTCAGTGGTTTTTTTTTTCCTTTAAAGATATATTTATTTTTACTGTAAAATCAGATATACAGAGCGGAAGCTCTTTTATCCTCTGATTTACTTCCTGGGAGGCTGAAACTGCTGGAGCTGAGCCGATCGTAAGACAGGACCCACGAGCTTCTTCCGGGTCTCCCACACTGGTGCAGTTTCCCAAGGCATTGGGCCTTTATCTACTGCTTTCCCAGGTCACAAGCAGGGGGCTGGATGGGAAGCAGGGCTGCTGGGAGAAGAACCGTGCCCATGTTGGACTCCAGCATGTGTAAGGCAAGGACTTTAGCCACTAGGTTACTGCACCAGGCCCAATTAAAATAACTGCATCTTCTCTATATATTGCACTAATAAAAATGAATAAATCTTTTTAAAAAAGTTTTTAAATGCTTAATTATCCTCTTTATGTTCTCAATTTTTTTTAAAGATTTATTTTATTTCTATCGGAAAGGCAGATATATGGAGAAGGGAGACAGAGAGGAAGATCTTCCATCCGATGATTCACTCCCCAAGTGAGCGCAACAGCCAATGCTATGCCGATCCGAAGCCAGGAGCCTCTTCCGGGTCTCCCGTGCAGGTGCAGGGTCCCAAAACTTTGGGCCGTCCTCAAGTGCTTTCCCGGGCCACAGGCAGGGAGCTGGATGGGAAGCGAGGCTGCCGGGATTAGAACTGGTGCCCATATGGGATCCCAGGCGTGCAAGGGGAGGACCTTAACCACTGTGCCACCATGCCGGGCCCCTATGTTCTCAATTTTTTTAAAAAATGTACTTTTTCTTGAGAACCAGAGAGCAAAGAAGAAAGAGATTGTCTAGCTCAAAGTAAAAGAGACATTGCCCAGTTAATGATTTGCTCTGCAAATTGTCACCATAGTTGTGGGTAGTTCTGGAAGAATGAGGACCCAGATATCCATTCTGTTCTCCCAGATGGGTGTGAAGAGATCCAAGGATTTGGACCATCATCTGCATCTGTCCAATATGCACATTAGCTAGCGAGCAAAAAACTGGAATGAAAGAGGAGCCCACGTTGAGCAGCGGCCCCTTGGCATGTATTTGGGCATGCTAAGCATTACCTTAACATCTGGTCCAGGGATCACCCCTAATTCTGATCAGAAAAAATATATAACACTTTAATTGAGGTCTCAGCTGCACATTGGCACATGTGATTTTACTTGGATCTGGCTACAAATTTAACACATCTTCACTGTGAATTGGCACCAAAGAAAGGAAGCATTATGCTTTCGGAGATCTGGCAAGTCTTCAGTGACAAAATAAATAAGGAAAACCCCCTCCCTGTGACAGGAGAGGGACATCGGAGAGTCAGTGTAGCTGCTGAGCTGCCATCGTAGCAGCTCCGTGCAGAACGAAGCCACCGTGCCCTCTGCTCACTGACGCTCTCACCTTGGAGAGCTGAGCACTGCTCCATCCCCCTTACGTAAACTGCGCAGTAGGGATTCGCAACAAGAGCATTTTCAAAGCCACGTCAAAAATACTACGTTTCACCACTGGGTGGGGTGTATCCCAGAAACGCGAGAGTATATCAACATTTCTGAATCCCTTCATTTAAAAAATCACATCAGTAGGATGGACAAAAACAAGGTGATCATCTCAATAAATGCAGGAAATCATCTGATAAAATTTAAGGGCACTTCATGATAAAAACTTATCATAAAGTTAGTATATAAGATATTTCTAAGCATTTTAAAGGCTAGGTATTGTCACACAACAGACTGTAATGTTCAGAATTGGGAAAAGCTGGAAGTTTGGTTCCTGATTCCTGGAAGAGCACAGAAATGCCTATTCTCACTACTTATTCAGAATATTATTGGAAATTTTAACAAGAGCAATTTAACTGGAGCAAAACAGATGTCAAAATTGGAGCTATAGTGCCTGGCACAGTGGCCTAGCCTCTAAAGTCCTTGCCTTGCACGCACTGTGACCCCTATGGGTGCTGGTTTTAATCCCAGCAGCCCCATTTCCCATCCAGCCCCCTGCCTGTGGCCTGGGAAAGCAGTCAAGGGCGGCCCAAAGCCTTGGGACCCTGCACCTGCTTGGGAGACCCGGAGGAGGCCCCTAACTTCGGATCAGTTCAGCTCCAGCCGTTGTGGCCACTTGGGGAGTGAGTCAATGGATGGAAGATCTGCCTCTGTCTCTCTTTCTCTCCATAGATCTGACTTTCCAATAAAAAAAAAAATAAATCTTTAAAAAAATTGGAAGTATAAATTATCTATGCTTGTACATCGCAATGTCGTATGTGGAAAATGTAATGGCTTCAGCAGAAAGAATTGTTAAAACAATTCAGTGACATTCCAGGTTAAAACCAAGTATAAAAGCAGCTCACACCAAAGTCAAGCCCCATTCGTCATAACCTCCAAAAATTAAAATATTAAAAATTAAAGAATTGATAGGTCTGTGTTATGAAGATCACCAAAAAAATGGATACAAGAGGTCAAGGACACAAAACTGAATACACGGGGAAGATTTACTCACAGTTGGTGGAAATACATCTGTGCAGTCACTGCAGAAAGCTGAAGATTTCTTGACATAAAAGTAGACTTGTCACGTGACCCGGCATTCCTAGTGCTGCGTAGGACTGTTCCCAGGTCAGAGACTCCCTCAGAGAAGCCTCTGCTGGTGAGGTGGAGACACGGCTGGGAACGCGCTGTGTCTACCGTTTGCAGTGTCTGTGTTGTGTCTGGGTTTTTGCAGTCTCTGGACTGAACGTTACTGCCCACGCTGCTGCTGAATAGAGTCAGTGACTGATGGGACAAGAAGTCTTGTTTGCAGAGCTGGGCCAGGGACCCCAGCTGATTTCAGTGAGCAGGAAGGAAGGGAGTAAGAACGGATGCCCGACAGCAGTGGGTTTGAGGTTTGGGGTATACTCGTTAGCTTAAATAACACATCATCCTCGTCGCACTCCATCTCCGTGCTCAGCTAAGGAAAATGTGATTCTGAGGACAGCAACCCGCAGCTGAGAGCTGACCACAGCCCTGGACATGGCATAATCATGGAAGACGCCACACCTTGCTGTGGCAGGGGTCCTTGACTAGTTCCAGGGGAGAGGCTTCAGCAATCTGAAAGGGAAAGGAGGATCAAGGTCAAGGTCACAAAGGGGAGAAGGGTTTCAGGTGTCCATTTAGCCTGGCAGTCTGGGAAGCAAGATGACACAGAATGAGATGGAGCAGGTGGGGCAAGGCTGTGGGCAAGGCCAGGGGACTCCCTAAGGACCAGGTGACTGTGCTGGTTGTGGCACTTGGGGTCTGATTCCTTCAGCTCTCACCAAGCCTTGAGTTGACTCTCATTTCCTGTATCCTACTCCCAAAGACAAGGATCCTCATCTCAAGGCCTCAGGCTGCCCTGGCCTCTTCTCTGTGGCTGGTGAGAAACAAAGCCTGAAGGGGCTGCCACATCTTGGGGACAGGACCAGTGCAGCAGGAGGAGGGGTGTTCCTGCAGTGGGGGTCATGTGGAGGAGAGGAAAGGGAGAGACATAGGTGACCCTGTGCAGAGCGCAGCAGGAAGCACCAGGCAACGTCAACTTGAAGAAGAGCTGCTGTTTTAATGTGGTGTGGGTCTAGGGAAACTGCTCAGGGAATAGGGCTTCTGGAATCCTGGGAGCTCACTGTCCTGAGAATGCCAGGGAGGAAGGGATGAAGGGAGGAAGTGGTGTTGGCACTGGAGATGGCCGAGCTTCTTGACAGCAACCGTGGCTTCTGTTCGTTCCCAGGAGTCACATGGTTATCTCCTTCCTGCCAAGAGAGGGTGGTGGCAGGCATTCCAACCCAACGCCCTCTTGTCGCCTAAGTTCCTCTGGTCTTAGGTCAGTGCAAGCAGCTGTCTGCTGCTCTTCACATGCCAGGCTGCAGGAGGTGCAGGGTGCATTTGCAGGCAGTCTTGGGAGACACTGTCAGCCACGGAGGAGAGCATCGTGGCAGTATGGACAAGGGCCCTTCACTGTGCTGACCTGGCTTCTTGGTCCTTCCACGTTTGAGCATGTGTGGCTCATGCAGATCCAGGCTGGCGATCCCACTCTGCTATGGGGGCCAGGGCTGAAGTCTGTGTTACCCCAGAATGGGAATCCTAGAGTTGTGGAAGATTCTCCTTTGTTCATACCTTTTTTGCCTCCTCTTTCTTCTTCTTCCTGAGCCACAAAGCATACCCTCTGGACCGGGAAACAGAATGGAGGTGGCTCAGCCAAGGAGCAGGTGTTACCTTGCTTGGGGATGCTACAGCTTGGAGACAGCACTCACCCGCCTGCAGCCATGGCTAGGAACAGCATTGTGCTGAGGCCCAGAACCCACTTGTTCTGCCAGTGCCTGGCTGGGGCTGTGGAAGAAGAGCCAGGTTTGGAAGCTGGACAGAGCCGTCCCAGCTCGGTCATCTATTTACAAACACTGGGAATCTACTCTGCTCATCCAGAAAGGAGAGGGGAAGGAGTGCTGCACTCTGGGAGGCATAGGTGGACAATGATAGTGCTGCATCCACAGGAAATGAGACAGGCCCCAGGGAAGAGATGAGCTGATGGCCAGAAGAGCTAGAGAGCTCATCAGGAAACAGAACCTCTCCACTGGACTTGGAATGACAGAAGTGCGCATCCGAAGGCCAAGGGCACAGCTGCGTTCCAAGTGGCGACACGCTGTGAGACAGGTGCTTGGAGTTGGCTGGCTGGGCTGTCACGCGGAGTAGGCCTGAGCAGTCCCTTCTGAAGCAAGGTCTTGTGAGAAGGCTGGACTCTATCTACACAGACAACACTGTTGTTTCTTGACAAAAGATTTTTGCATGTGACACCAAGATGGGTTTGGGGTGCTTTTCGTGGATGCTGGCCCCAGAGACCAGGAGACAGACCACCCTAAGGCTGTAAAGCTGGAAGTACAGGTCAGGAAACCCTGGCAGGTGTAACTCCCCCCCGAGGAAGAAGATGAGGAGGAAGAGCATGAACAGAAGTTTGGGTCTGGCAAGGACGAGGAGACAGAGGCCACAAGGCCCTCAGCATGGAGGAGAAGGACAGGGGAAGTGCCTAACCTGGACACAGAGTGTGGTCATCACAGGAGAGGAGGTGCGTCCTGCAGCTGGCACATTCTGTGATTTCCAGTGGTGTGTGGACACCTAAGGGGAGGGACAGCAGGAGTCGCACAGGACCAGGGCCTTCCTTCTCTGCTACCTGAGGTCAGGTGCCAAGAACACTCACCGCAGGACTCGTTGCAGACTGCTTGGGAGGACAAGATGGCAGAGAAACAGTGAACTGAGCACGGAGGAGGCAGGAGGAGCTGAGAGTGGTCAGGGTGTGAGGGGAACCGGCACATGGCAGGCAGGAACAGGGACTCCTGGGGAAGGCCTGGGAGACACCGCTGCAGGCCTTGGGTCCGGCCTGCAGCAGGGGGCTGTGCGATGGGCCCAGGCAGCCCCACCTCTCACCCCTCTGCTCCAGCTCCTCCGACCTCTCTGTCAGTTTCTTGGCCAGCAGACGTTTGTACATTTTGAGCTCTTCCAGCAGCAAGGCCTTGTCTGGGTGGAGGAGAGGGGAAAAGGTGCTTGACCCCGTGGTTTGCTTAAGGTTGGGGTTTCAACCCCAAATTCTGTAGAGTACACGCAGCTCTCCTATCACTGTGTCAACGTCTGCCCACACCTCCTTGCCCAAAGTCGCAGGGCCACAGGGAGCTGCCAGGAAAGCTGAGCTTCACCAAACCAGCACTCAGGCCCGGGGCATCCCACTCAGATTCCTCACCGCTTCGTAACCTCTTAATGGCTTCATCTAATTGAAGGACAAATGTGGCTGTTGCTTTTTCCAGATGGTCCCGGTCTGAGGGCAAGGAAGTGAGCAGAGTAAGGCTCAGGGTCAAGTCCCAAAGGTGCCACAGGTCCACTCCCTGGTCTCCGGGCTGTGTCTCTCACCAAGGAACAAGCTTTTGACCGAGGTGTCATCTGTCAGGAAGATGGACTGGAGGCTTTGGGACAACTCGACGGGTGGCCCTGGGGGGCCCCAGAGGATTTGCAGGTCATATTCCAGCATGGCAGGCAGTGCTGGCCAGCAGTGGAAGCAGCTGTTGTCACAAGCTGAGGGCAGGGGGCAGGCGAGCAGGAGCAAGAACAGCAGCATCTTCTGGGGTCCTCGCGCTGTAACCTGCTGCTCTCCCTGACAACTGCATTTGGAACACAGCAACTGCTCCCCCTGGCAACTGCATCGCCATGCTGGATCAAAGGTGGATTCCACAGGAGGGCCGACTGTGGTGAGGCCAGGCTTTGTTGTTCCCAGTCAAGCACGGACTTCATCATTTTCTTACTCAAATCTCCGTCCTTGTGTCTGGTCCCAAATCAAAATAACAAGAACAAGGCTCTGGGGTTAAGGAGGACTTAATCTGTACAGCTTAGAGGGTAGCAGACCTCCTATCCTCAATAATTTCCTCCCCTTAAGAGGGTGTTTGGTGGTATTGAAAGGGCAAGGGAGGGCGTGGCTAGGAATAAAGACCACATCATATTCCTCATGAGTGTTGTCACTATCCAATCTCTCCAATATAATGTGAAAAAGGAAGAGGAATTGTATGCGAACAGTAAGTTTCCTAACTTTTAGGAGAAATATCTGCCCTCTCGTGGGGCAAAAAATCTGGTGAGAATACAAATGGTCTCTTCTGACCGCACATGACTCCTGTGCAAGAAGGGAAACCCAGCTGGTGTCTGGTAGTGAGGAGGGAGTTTGGAATTGTCTGTGAACATGGATTCTGCTTGAGAGCTGCCTGCCTGTGCTATGGATCTTCATTGCAAAATGCTTCCAGTGGCTGTCTGATTTCTGGGCTGGTGTGATGGTGAATTTTAGGTGTCCACTTGATTAGAATCAGAAATACTCAGGAAAGCATGTTTTCCAAACTTCCCCCCCTCTGCGTCTTTGTTCCATTCCTGGGCTTTTTCCTCTCTGCAAACATGCCTTAAGCCTTCAAACCCAGGGACCTGATGTTTACCAAGTTGAAAGGCTATCCACACTGGCTCACCCAGAACCATGACATTGCCCATGCTACTGTGAACCCTCCTCCCAACGAATATCCCCCACCTTCTTCTTTGGCAGCCATGAAACACCCTTGCTGGGGCCCAAGGACCTGCTCCTCTACAGGTGCCAGGACACGTATGGCAAGTCTGATAAGAAGAAAGGCTTCAGTGAGGGACTGTGGTGACCCAGAACAACTGTCACACCTGCGTTTGGTAAACAAGGGACTTGTGAACCTTGACAGCTAGGTCAGGCCTGGGAGGAGGAGTCCATTGTTAGGGATCTGAGGTCACCCCCTGAGGACCACCCAGCTGAGCCCCTTCCTCAGACAAGACATCCCCTAAGGCTGTGTCAGCTGCTGACTACCCTCTACGCCACACCACATGCACACCTCACACAGTTACACCAGCACTCTACCCAGCAGCAACCCAGGGCAGGCCTAGGGCAGCCAGCGACCCAGATGGGAGGAGGAACATCTAGCATTAGATCAAGTGGATCTTCTCTGAGCACTCCTGCATCTACAGCTACATCCCTGGACAAGCCCTTGGGCTTCTCAGGGCCTTCTCAGTCTCCCCTTTGTTCCCGGGGAATGTCCTCAGATGTACTGACCAAACGCCTGGGTGACCTGTGAACCCTAAGGCTTGTAACACCCAAGCTTAGAACAACTCAACACAGAACCCCAAGAAGGACTCTGACAAGGAATTGGACATGCTGCCTCCACACAGGGGTCCTCATGTGTGAGCCAGGGAAAGCCACTTACCCCCTCGCCCCCTCCTTGTGTCACGGGAAGGTTGAGATGTACAAGAGTGACAAGACCCTTCCTCCAGCTGCCAACACATTCAGAATCTGCTCAGGGCTGCCTCTGGATACCTGAGTTCGGCAGCCCCAATAAAGACACCCAGTGATAACCGTCTCCTGGTACCCAAGTCCTGTGATGCCCTCTCCTCCAGGTGGACTGGACTTGGGGTCTGGCAAAAGTGGATGAGAAGATACTGCTCCAAGGGTGTGAGTCCATGTCTGTAGCTCTTGTGTGGTCTCTGCTCAGCTTGCTTTATAAGAACAGGCTATGATATAAGGTCTCCCTATAGACGGGCCCCAGGAAAAGGAAACAGAATCTTGAAGTTCAGGTTCTCAGCCCAGTCTGCATCATGCCAATGACAGGACATTGTTGAGCCATGACTGAGAGCATGATTAGGACAGGATGCTGATTGACCTGAGTCTGGGTTCCAGTAGACAGATACTGTGGCATCAGAAATGTATGTCCAAGAGCAACCGGACAGGCCCAAGTCCCAGGGTCAGTCCCGTCTTATGCCTGACCCCTCTAATCTCATACAGCCCCTTCCACCCCAGTCATACTCACCTCTGCTCCAGTTTGTTCAGTCCCCCCACACTGTGGCTCCAGGACTTGGACCCAGATGGCTGATTATCAGTGTCATCTTAGCAACACCATTTGCCCCAGCTCTGCCCCACAGCCTTGCCTTCATTTTTCCTCCAGGACTTTTTCTTTCTCTAGGGTCACATTGGAGCTTTTGTGTCTCCCTATCTCCAGCCTGAGCAGGTACTTGACAGCCATTTCAGAGGCACACCCATGTTCAGCAGGGTTCTTCCAGGACATGACTGGGGCACAGGTGCTGATGTCAAAGATGAAGGGGCCCCTGGGATCCCTTCTCCAACCGAGAGCTCACACTGCAGACATGGATGTTAGGGAACAGGATGTGCTGGCTGGGGCCAGGGACACATACCCTGACCTTGGGGTTGCTCCTGGCTCCTGTGGTGCCACCGGCACTGGCACACTGCTGCTTTCTTTGGGTCAGATCCAATTTCAGGCACAGGTTCCTGGAAAGCTCAGGACCCTTGGGTTTGGGAACCCAAGCAGTGGGGCTCTCAGTGGCCACTCTCTGGGGAACTCACCAGAAAACTTCCAATGTTCCCATAGAGGAATGGTTACAGCCCCCTTCTCATTGGAAAGAGCACAAACCACTGACTGCTTCAGGTGACATGTGAACACCAGACCAGTAAGGGCTAGGTATGCCATGGTCACATCCAGCCAGAGATCCTTCCAGAAGAGCACACTGATTTTCTACCTTTTCAACAAAGCATGTCATCATTGTGTGGGCTCCGTACAACCTGCTGCAGGAATCGTCTCCAGTCTCCTGCTCTCCTGACAGGCTGCAGTGCAGAGCCACACCAGGGCTGAGGCCGGGGGTGTCCACATGGCTCACGCTCCTGCACCTGCCTGCTCTGATGGAATCAAACTCCCAGCTGCCTCTGTGGGAAGGTAACGGGGGTCCCCTCGGCAAGGAATAAGGAACCCCAGTCCTGCACAGCTCAGCATGCATTTCGCAAGCTGAACCTTGGAGGATGGTTTCAATACAGGCCTGAGACTGAGCAAGTGCTCATGTGTTTAAGGCTATTCACCAAATACACAGCACACACATTACACACAATATGCACACATTCTCACTAAACCTGCCACAGACACACTACACACACGAACACACACATATACAGATCCACAGGACATACACTGCACAGTGCACACACATGCTCATTATCCCATTGAAACAGAACACACATCATAAATATATGCAATGCACACATAATTCAGACCCGTCATACACACCACACACATCACATACACACACGCTCCCTGGAGCCAGTACAAACATACTACACACATAGTACTTACATACAATGAACACACAATGAAGACTCACAATACACACTACACACATTATAGACACATGCAAATTAAAATGACCAGACATACTATACACACTAAAAACATACGTATGCAAACATATGATATAGAGACCCACTATTATATATACATTACACATTTTACAAAACAAACTAAAAGGATCACAGAATTCAACCATAACTACAAAATGATACAATTCTTAGGAGATGAGACAGGACCAAATCTGGCTGGCTTTGACAATTAGGATGTTTATACATTTGTTTATTTATTTGACAGAAGTTTCTGAGAGAGCAAATAAGGTAGAGCTCTTCCATCTGCTGGTTCATGCTCCAGATGGCCAGGACAAACAGGGCCAGGCCAAAGACAGGAGACAAGATCTGGATCCCAAACTCCCTTGTGGGTGGGCAGCAGACCTTGAGACACTTGGCCCCCTTCCACTGCTTTCCCAGGTGCTCTAGCAGGGAGCCAGGTCAGAAGTGAAGCAGCTGGGACCGCCATTGGCAGCCACATAGGATACCAGTACTACAGATGGCAGCCGTCCCCATGAGCCATGCTTTTAACCACTCCAAAACGATCCACGAGATGATAAGGGTCCACGCCTTGGTCAGGAAGTCTGAGACTGGTCTCACCCAGGGGAAGGGCCCAGGTCACTGCTGGCAGAAGGTGCTAGTAGTGGCCACTATGGAACGTGTGCTGGAGGAAGCCACTGGGGCCGTGTACCGGTGTGCACATCTGTGTATTTGTGTCTACTGTCTATGAGCACGACTGTGTGTGTCTGTGTGAGGATCTGAGTGATGACAGACGGCAGGGACAGCCTGCACTTCAGCTGAGCAGCTCAGCTTCAGGAGTCTTTCTAAAGGGGGAAGACGTGGAATCACAGCGCCCTTCCTCCCAGAACCACCTGGAGCACAGAACAGCGCCAAACCTCGTCTTCTCTAAGGCCCTCATGGGTTTCGCATTTTCTGGTTATCCTTGGGCACAGTCAGAAGCCTCAGTTTCTTTAGGACGGAGGGCCAGTCCAGTAGCCAATCACCCCACAGGTACTCTGGGGACAGCACCTTGGTGGGCTTGTGGTGCAGCAGGTACTTGTTCAGGTGGCTCTCGTCATGCCACACGGCCTCGATGCCATTGGCCTTGTCAATCACAATGGCCTGGTGACAGGCACTGGCGAGCTGCTGCACCTCGGCCACCGAGCCCCCAAAGAAGGCTCCAATGTAGTAGAAATCACCCCTGTCCCAGGGGATATATGCCTGGGACTTCCACCGACGCTCGTAGGTGAAGGCCTTGCGGCGGGCTGAGTAGAATCTAGGGTGCAGGGTGCCAAAGAGTGGGGTGAGGATCTCCACCCCGACATGGTCCCAGAAGACCATGTCCACATCAGCGCACACCAGGTAATCCACCTCGTGGCGGAAGCGCTGCTGAGAGAAGATGCTGATCGCCTCCATACGGTG